TGGGCGGCTATGGAAGTTCACGGTCGCATCACGAAGTGCGAGCGGAGACCAATTCAACCGTTCGCTCTCCACGGAGGCCGCTCGGTTGTGGCAGCGCTGCCCGCTGGCACTACTCCACACACCTTTTACCTATCAGTCTCGCTATCACGATGTATCTATCAAACATAATGCCTATTCTAGAGGCGCTGTACAGAGTCCCTCGGGGTTGTTCGTAGTGATGCGCTCTCGCTTATCCCGTTCGCATTGTATGCTTGAAAGGTCATGTGGCACTCCAGCTTCTCCCGACTTGCAACAGTACCGAGGGGCCGACTCAGGTATCAGCGCTAAGTGCAAAGTCGCCTTGTTGATTGACCTGACAGTAAAGGTACATGTCCGCTTTATGCTGATCAGTCGGTCGATCTCGTTCGCATCGATGACAATTCCACTCGCCAGCGACTGCGTATAGCCGGAGTTTAGTCCTTGCACAGGCTCGGTGCTGCTCGGTGCTGCTCAGCGCTGCTCAGCGACGCGTCCATCGCACGTCTCATGTGACCGTGATGCTTCTTGGACGGCCGTGTCGGGCTTCGCCCTCTGTACTCCGGGGGATCGATAGCCACTCACACAAGGAAGGTCATGCACGGAAAGTGGATTCCCGAGAAGCCTGCAGGCCCTAGGTATCGTCATATCTCCATGCGATGTTTCTCCCACACCGATGCGGTCTTCCCGCGGTGCGATCGTCTGAACTTGGTGGACTGGCACTACATGCAACCCTTGCTGCACCTCGACGTGACTAGTAAAGGAGGTGCGGGGGTACCCTTTCGCTAGTACAACTAGCGACACCGCAAGCGCTTAGTCTCTGTGGGTAATTCTTTCCGCGGCAGACATGCAGGCCATTCGTCGTACAAGTCTCTGTCAGCGCTTTAACCCCAACTCAAGGACAGATGTTTGATCATCGAGACCCTCGCTTTGCCTGGGTTCGAGCACCGCTAGGTTGTTAGACTCTTCGTGCGCGCTCTTCGATCGGGATCATACTTGGGTTGGCGCTCGGATGAGCGTGCTGGTGCACCGGATGTGAATGTGCTTAGCAGGCATGAGAGTACCTGGTAAAGAGACCACATCAGGCGCCCACTTTCCTCCTTGAACATCGGATATTTCCTTATCGTATGGGAACACCTGAGAGTCTCGAAGTCTCGTGATTCTGCCGAGATGTACAATTGAGCATTCCTTACAACTAGCACCAAACCAAGTGTTGCTTACTCGAACCTAGCAGTTCAGATGATTCTCTGCCATGTATTGCCACAGTCTCCTAGTGAGAGTACTATGAATGATCTGCGCGGAAAAGGGGTATCTAGACCATACGAACTTCATCTTCTTGCCGGTGCTGGGAAACCCTGTTGGTCGTGGTAGAGTACGGTAGAGTAAACTCCGACACGTGGCAGGTCCCCTGAGCCCGGGCATGCTTCGGTAGTAAGGGCAGTGAGAGCATCCCTAGCTTCGTCCCCTCCCTCATCAGCACAGATCCAAACGCAGTACCTATTGTCCATCGCCTACCTGCATCAAGATGAGAACCTCTGTACCTGCCAGTACATATGGCAATAAGGGTATTGCGGAAGATGGAGACTCAGGGAGCGCCTTTTGGCACCTATTTCTACGGGGCATCGACAAAAGGCAGGAGAAGCTTGCCCGCTACAACAAGACTGCCATGACCAGTTTGTTGACCTTTGTCTGTGATATCCATGGCTGTATCTGACTGTTGCTGACGATGCTTAATCAGGCAGGTCTTTTCGCCGCCACTGTCGCGGCGTTTTTGGTGGACGGCTACAAGTCTCTTTCGCCCGACCCGAACATCCAGGCGTTTACGACGGCGCTCAACCATACGAATGCGCTCCTGGCTCAGCTCGTACAGTCATCAAGTCTGAAGCCGGCGGTGGCCGCTGATCCCGCGGCCTTTCATGCCCCCCGAGTCAACGTCGTATTCAACACGCTTTGGTTTTGTGCTCTCCTCCTCTCCCTCCTGTGCGCGCTATTGGCCACGCTTGTCTTGGACTGGATGGCTGAGCCTATTGAGATCATCGACTTACGCGCACCGGAGACCTTGGAGCAATACGCGCTCAAACGCTTGGGCTCATTCATGGGCATCCGCCGGTACGGCTTGGATCGCTTATCGACGGCAGTTGTCGGTCTGATGCATCTGGCCGTGATAGTGTTTCTTATCGGGCTATCGATGTTCCTGTTCACCACCAACTCGGTTATCTTCCTCGTCGTGGCGATTGGCTCCGGCCTTGCTTCAGGGTTCTACCTCCTTGCCAGCCTGGCACCGATGCTGGACAAGGATTGCCCTTATCGCACGCCTTTGACATACTTCTTCCTCATCTTTCTGAGCACCTTTGGCGCACTCATATTGAGCATCATCATATACATTGCCATCGTGATATCTTCCATAGGAAACTGGATTCACGACAGGAAGATCGTCCTCCGCGACATAACACTGCGACACCTGTGGCATGTTATGAAAAGGAATACTGCTCTGATGCCACTCCTTTCACATCTATTCAAGTCCTGGTTCAAAGGCGAATCTGCAGCGGAACGCCATGACATCGTCCACCGTAACTACCACCCGTCGCGCGGTCGAACGACGCTATCTGTCAAAGAGCTGCTGTACGTGACGACATACACGGATCTTCTGCAGAATCCGAGAACCGCTCAGTACATGGCTCGAAGACTGTTTGACATGGAGCGCGAGGGCATTGCTGAATACATCGCTCAGCTTCGCGAACACCGCTCAATGGTAGCGAGGCTGGTCTCAGCGTTTAATCGCGTCGACTCTCCACAAGATGCCATCGGCTCAGTTCGCCTCTTGCAGATGCTGCTACTGGCGGACGACCCAGCCCGTGTCACCAGCAGTCACGACGAGGTTGCGAAACGCGAGGATGCACGCTGGAAACAACTGCGCGCCCGTTTGAACGCGGCTTGCTCGTTTGCACGTTTGAACGCCCGTCGTCCGTTCGAACGCGGCTTGCCCGTTTGAACGCCTGTCGCCCGTTCGAACGCCACTCGTTCGTTCGATCGCCGCTCGCCCGTTCGAACGCTACACACTTATTCAAGTGGCTCTTGAACACAGTTTGCCCGTTTGATCGCCCGTCGCCCGTTCGAACGCGGCTTGCCCGTTCGAACACGGCTTGCCCGTTTGATCCCCATCCAATTGTTTGAATGCTGCCCACTCGTTCAAGTACATCTTGAACACGGCTCGCTCGTTTGAACGCCACTCGTTCGTTCGATCGCGGCTTGCCCGTTCAAACACGGCATGCCCGTTCGATCGCCATCCAATCGTTTGACTGCTGCCCTACTCGTTCGAATATATCTTGAACACGGCTTGCCCAAGGGAACACAGTTTTGCCTGTTTAATCGCCACTCATTCGCTTGAACGCTGCTTACTCCTTCAAATATCCGTTGAACACAGCTTGCCCGTCTGAATGTCACTCATTCATTTGGATACGTCCGGGAGAAGAGCTCAGGTGATGGAGGCGGAAGACGCGCGACTCCAAGAGCGCGTTGGCCTTGTCGGGAACGGCCGAACGCCTTCGTGGCTAGCTGATGATCGCAACATCGTGCGATTGAACGCGACCGCAATTGGACGCAATCAATCAGGCACGTGTGGTTGAATCATGATGTCATTGACCACTGCTCAATCGTTTTCAAGAAGCCTAAGCACAGTTCCTCCTTCTTTGACTGTACTATTCGACCGCCATATACACACTGACCCTGTTACCATGACATCTACAGCGAACACTCACGACGAGCGGCGTAATAGTGCTGTCTTCGCGGGTACCTGCTTTTGATCGGGATTATCAAATCGCCCTTTTGGTTGATGCGTGATTATCAAACCCGCGTCTACCACGGCTGATGCGTAACGCTGACGGCGATCGTTCCAGGGGGAAGGTGGTGGTGCATAGAGGTGTCGTCTAGGCGGCTCATTTGTATGGAAGCTCGCTCGTGCCAGAAGTTGAACAATGAACGTCTGAACAAAAGGCCACACTAGGCTGCGCCATGGCTTCGTGTAGATCAACCTTTTCGGTACAGAAATACAATAGCGACTGAGTGACTCCAGGCGGAGAGTCCATCATCGATGAGAGCAGTAGAGCAAGGCACATGAGTGTGCGAAGCAGGTCGCCATCGCAACGCCTGGTGAGATATCGGGTTTGACTCCGTTTCTCACGGGTGTTCAACCGACGTTCAGATCACCAGTACTCGCTCTCTAGGCTCACATGACAGTAGAATATCACTCAATGAACAAGCTTATAGGTATCGCATAGCAAAGGTGTACGACAAAGTGCGACGTATTGTAGTACAAGGGCGAAGGCGACTACGCAATCAATCGTCTGCGTCCGACATCGCAGATGAAGCGTGACAACGGACGGCTGTTAATTGGCGCAACTTGGTCCAGAGGACGCGCGAGACTTGACGTCCACGTTCCAATAATCTGGCGACGGGTCCATTCCGGTGCATATGCTGCTCGGAATGGACAAAATTGCGATCTGATGGGGGTAAGATGCTTGCTGGCCGTTCCCCATTCACGCTTGAAGTCGACGATGAATCTGAAGCGGCGGGTTGTTCGGGCGCAGGCTTGTCTCTGATCCCCAGGCGCAGTTCAGCATCATCTATGATGCTAATCAATAATCAGTGTATGAATGCGGGGCAAAGCGTGCATACATACCTGCGGAGCTGGTCTCGAACTTTGATGAACAAGAGGGGGTCAGTGACTTCGTCCACATCGTCCAGATCATACGAGACGTCAGCAACGGGGTCACGCGGGTCGCCAGTATCATTGACCATGTCTTCGAATCGCATCATCTCGAATAGCTGGCCGTCCAAAGCGTCGCTCTCAACCTCGCTTTCTCTGTCGTAGTTACTAGACGACGAGTCGCTATCGTCGCTACCGATGATGGAGACCTCGTCTGAGGCAGCATGGGTACCAGGAGAATACAACGCGCCCGATTTAGAGCCACGAGACCTTTGGCTTCTCTTCACCGAGGACACGGGCGAAGGTGTAGGGGACTCAGGAAGAGGTATGCGAGCAGCCGATGCCGGGGATGGAGGAAGAGGGATGGATGCAATGACCTCTATGTCGCCATATCTGATCCTTTCCTCCAGGTCTTCAACACGGGTCACCTCCTGGCTGAACAATCTGCTCAGGCGAGCAATCTGTCTTGGCATTACACGCAGTACCGAGGTATAGTTGCACGGTGTCGTGGTGATACGGCAGCCTATAGGGTCCTGAAAGGCCCATGTCATGTCGATATAGCAGTCGACGAGGGGGAACGGGTGTGTAGGCTGGATGGTTTCACTCCGAGTGGGATGATGGGTGTTGGGCAGGATGGGGTAACACATTTCCGGCGTGTCCCAAGGAGGATGATTGAGTGTGGGTAGCTCCCGGCGAACGAGCGCAATGGAATGATGAGTGAATGGCTTTGTCTCCAAGGGAATCCCGCGACCCTACGGAGATTGAGCATGAAGATTCCCCGCCAGCAATATATCGCACCACATACCGACATCACTAATGCCACGAAACGATGCCGGGGTATTTTGCGTGCAGCGCGCTTCGCCGCTACATCCAAGTGTCCGACAGATGCAACTGGATCGATAGTGAGGACGACAAAATCGCCTAGACATGGCCAAAATGCGGTAGGTGGAGAGCCCCTGTCGAATAGATATCTGAACCGGGGCACAGTGGCAGTATCAGGGCGGCCTTCTTCTGCAGCGGACATAGTGTTCACAGGCAGGTGACAAAGGAAGGTATGGTGACAATATATAAGGAAAGCCGAGACAGCGAAGCTGGGACATTGGTGGTGAAAGAACAAGAAAGACCGGAACAAGGTGAAGGCCATCAGAGCGATGTGGGAATATCATGCGCTCGGCTGAGCTCGGGCAACTCGGCGGCGCGGGCTTGGGCCGCATTCTTATTCTTTGGCAGCTAGATCGACTGTCAGCATAGATAGTGACCTTCTTACTTATCTTATTGTTAAAAGGCGAAGCCCGGGAACTGCTTACAATAGTAAACATCTGAGTTTTCCCATGTGCTACGTACTCGCATATTCAGTGGTTGGTGGCAGTCTTCTACTAAAATGCTTCATCGCACGCTGTCACTTCCGACATTTTTCAACATCTGGACTATGAAAGAACGGCATGGATATCAATTCACATTATAGAAGACTATGATACGAGACGGTACTCGCTGACATAATCATCAACCTGGGCACGCGAGTGGTCTTACATAGCATCGGATGTCGCCGAAGTACTATGGCAGGGAAACGTCGCTAACCCACGCAAGTGACGCCATAACGACAGTGAAGCACGCCAGCAACGAGCCAACGCTTTCGCAAGAGGCACCCTACGTGGTACACGTTCATTCGACTTATTGCGAACGGTGTCGGTAGCTTGAACGTCATTCGCCGATCGATCGAGTTTCGTGCTCGGAACCGGCGAAGGCTTTGGCGATGGGCTACGTGCTGAGGGAGCAGACTCGGCCCTGATCCCCAGCCGGATTTCAGCCTCGTCAATGATACTTTGGCGGTATTAGACGTTATATGCCGAGGAGGATAGTGAAGAACGTACCGGCGCAGTTGGTCTCGAACTTTGATGAAGAGCATGGGGTCTTCAACTTCACTGACCATGTCTAGATCGTACGAAACATGAACAACGGGGTCGTGCAAGTCACCCATGTCATTGAGCATATTCTCGAAGCGCAGCATCTCGAATAACTGGTCGTCGGCCGCTTCGCTCCCGGGCCCTTCCGAGCCCTCAACGATAGACGAGTTGCTATCTTCACTACCGATCATGGACACCTCATCCCCGACGGCATGTTTGACCGCAAACTCGGATGTCTCTGCTTCAGACGAACAGGGATCGCAGGTCATTCCAAGATCGGATGGGCCCAGATCTTCCTGCGGAGCGGGGGATGGCGAGGGAGGTAGAGGGACTTGGAAAGCGGACAGAGGTGTAGTCGGCAGCGGGATGGAAGCGATCACGTCCACATCCCCCATCTCCAGTCTCTCCTCGAGATCCTCGAGATCGGCCACCTCGTCGCTGAATAGCGCCCGTAGATGAGTGAGTTGGGACATCGGAACGGGCAGTACTGGGGTGTAATCTCGAGGCAATGTCGTGACACGACAGCGAATTGAGTCCAAAAACGAGGCCGTCGTATCGATGTAGCAGTTGTCCAGAGGAAGTGGATGGATAGGCTGCACGGTCTCGGTGCGTGTTGGATGTGTTGTGTTTGGTAGAATGGGATAGCACATGTCGGGCGACGCCCAAGGGGGACTATACAGAGTAGGCAGCCCTTGGCGAACCAGTGCGATGGAGCAATGCGTGAACGGCTTTGTCCTCAACGGTATGCCATGAATCTGTGGTAAGACCTCAGCACGCGTTGTTAGATATTGAGTGCAAACGCACCCCCATCACCAAAGCCACGAAACGCCGTCGCGGCAGTGCCCGTGCAGCGACTCTTGCTGCCTCGTCCAAATGTGCCACTGAGGCCAACGGATCGACAGTAAGGACAATGAAATCGCCAAGGTTTGGAAAGTGGACGATTGGGGCAGGCCATTGGTCCTTGGGCAGGTATCTGAACTGGCGGGTGTCTGAAGTAGGTAGGCGAGATTTTGTTGACATGAGCTTTACGAAGGTGGGGCAGCACACGCCGAGAGCGACTCATTGCGTATAAGGGGAAAGTGCATGGAGAACAATAGAGACCAAAGCTGGGTGAAGAGATGGGCGTCCGAGGTGAACTTGGCTTTTGTGGGAACCCATTGCTGCCGATTTCGGGCAACGCGGCCGCGCGCGGTCTCCGTGCGACTCGGCCCCCCGTCTCAGCGTCATCCTCGCCCCCTCTGATACAAGTATTGTCTTCTGTCCGGTAACCACTAAACTCACCAGCCGTTCTTGTCAATGAAGTAGTATGGCCAAGTAGACTCTCGCTCGCGACGCATGAACACAATTCCATCTGAGTGAAGAAAAGTAGAGGGATATCCAGGGCCCTTGCTAAGCAGAAAGTGATAAACACAAATTGTATAATCAAAAGCATAGCGAAAGCTAAAACTACTGCAATACTTCGATACCGGAGGTACAAGGAATCAGAATCCCGCGTAGTCGGCGCCACATCCGAGAAGGCCACGTCTGCACTTTCGCGACTATCACTCGGATCCGTAGGGTGCGTCGTTTGTCTGCATCTCTCGAGTGGGGGAGCGATTGAGAGACAGAGGGAGGAGTGGCCGAGCGTACACTGCTTGCGCGGGATGTCGCTGGTGATTTTGGCTCGGCCGAAGGCGCTTCGGCGGGAGGGTTGACAACCTTGATGCCTAGTCGTATCTCGGCTTCCTCGACGATCCTGTAACGAAGCATTAGCAAGAAAGAATTATCAAGAGTCGCATAGTACACATCCAACGTACTTCCTGATCTCAGCGCAGACTCGGATATAATGAATGGGGTCGGTCACCTCCGTAATCATATCCAGGTCGTACCAGACATCCACCACAGGATCGTGCAGATCCCCGGTATCTTTGATGAAGTCCTCGAAATGCAGCATGAGATCCAGCTGCTCATCAGACCGATCATCATTGTCATCGGCGTGCTCGACATCTCTCCGCTCATTCACGGATAGGTCATCATCACTAGCGATAATAGACACCTCGTCATGCGAGGAATGGCGCGAGAGAGCGTCAGCTTCAGAGGCATCCTCTTCCGTATTGCCGTCCGAGTGATAGCCCGTATCAGGCTCCGCACTTCTCATTCCATCAAGAACGGGCGAACTCGGTTCGGACGATGGTAGAGGCACGTTGTATGCAGATACGGGAGACGGAGGAAGAGGTAGCATGGCGATTGCGTCCAGATCTCCTTCAGCAATGCGATCGCGAAGCTCAGAACGGTAGATCACCTCGTCGCTCATCAGCCACTGCAGACGAGAGAGTTGCGAGATTGGCATGGGCAGGACAGGCGTGTAGTCACGTGGAGTGGTTGTGACACGACAGCGCAGGTAGGCGAGAAAGGGTGAAGTTGTGTCGAAATAGCAATCGGGCAAAGGCAGCGGTTGCACGGGTCGTATAGTCTCACGACCTTTCGGGTGAAAGGTATTCGGTGCAATGGGGTAGCACATATCCGGTGTGTCCCAAGGCGGGTTGAGGACTGTCGGAAGCCCTTGTCGAACCAAAGCGATGAGGAAAGAGGTGAATGGTTTGCTTTCCAACGGAAGCCCGTATCCCTAATTGTCGAATCAGTGCGTGTTAAGTGGGACGCGGAGCTAAGTGACGCACAGTCATAGTCAAGGCAAGGAAGGTGTGTCTGGGCAACTTTCGAGCTGCACGCCGGGCAATCTTATCCAGATGAGCGACTGAGGCCACTGGATCGATCGAAAGCACAACGAAATCGCCAATCCCTGGCCAGCAGGTCGTAGGGGTTGGCCTCTGTCTCCCCAGATACTTGTACTTGTACATTTGCGGCGGCTGGATTTGATGATCGCCTTCCATGGTCGAGAGGTGGGCGGGTCGCTCAAGAGTCAGAAAGATAGTATGGGAGTCGCCTTCAAGGCGACTTATTTGTACAGAAGCTAGCTCGTGGTTCAAACTCGAGTGGTGAACGCCTGAACAAAAGGTCACGCTTCCGACTTGCGCCCACGGCTGCGTGTCGTGGGAGAGACCGGCTGTTGGAAGAGGCGACCTTTGTTCTGCATTTGTTCGTCCTTGTCCGCAACCATCCAGTGCGTTGTGTCCGTTGAGGATGTGTACTGCGATATCGCGATGGTCGCTGATGGCAGGTTGTGCCAGAAATAGGTGCTCATCCAGTTCGTCGCAGAAGAGTTCGCCTACGCGTAACCTGATCCCGAGTCGCAGATCGGCGAACCCATCAACAGGTCACCGAGCACCCCTCCAAAGCGTAGTCGCTGCTCCGGACAGCCTGTTTTTCGAATCATCGCGCGCTCTTGAGACGTACAGTCACTACAGGAATACCGCAGCGCCGCGATGTTCGTGCCTGTGAACGTGCTCAACTTGGCCGACTCGGCTGATAGCCAAGATATGATTTGGGCAATTGTTGTCGCTTTTGTGTCGGGGCTCCTTCTTCCCAATCGGTTCCACGCTCTTGTTCAACGAAATCAGCACACCGACTATCCATGAGGGGCGACAGGATAAGAAGAAGCTATGTTCTTGGATGGGACTGTATTGACCCGCTTTCCCTAATCCTTTCACTCGACGTCGACAGGCTACGCTATAATGACCATGCAGGCACATGGCTATCTCTTCCCTTCCAATTCACTCGTTTCGCACACCCCTAGCTCTGTGTTTGGATCTGTTCTGGACGATGATTCTCTGGAAGGACACTCCATTCAGCCCATCGACAATTGCGCCGTGTGCTCCCACTTTGAGTCTGCAACTGTCTTCGGCCCGCAGAGCAAGAAGCCCAAACCGGGTCAGGTGCACAGAATCTTCGAGTCCCTGTTCCTTCCTGTGGCACGCCTTCTTGCTAGCAAAGGGCAAGGCGGTCCTTTTAGGGGCCAACTCAATGCCTCCGTCGAGCGTTTTATTCGAGATCGGAGTTGCAGGATACGGCCCACTGTCGTTACTCAAAGCTTCGAAGATGGCTCCTTCGACGTATACTTGATCGGCACGGTTGACGGAGACAAGGGTCCGGACTATCCGATGGCTATGGATAACTTTACTACTCCGATTGATCCTTTACCGGACACGAACGGGCGTATAGACCCTGAACATGTGCATGGGGCGCCGCGTTGGATATCTAAGTCTCCGGCATATGTCGTGACCGCTAAATATCACACAGAATGCGGCGTTGGTAGTGGTATGGGGCAAGTACGCCTGGAGAGGTGGAAAGAACCGGGGCCGGGGGGCGAAGCGGTTGTGTTTCGCTTTCATCCTCGTCAATTGGACCGGATCTCGCGGATCCACCAATTACAGTGGAATAGATGGATGGACATGGAAACTGGTTTGAAGAACAGGTACATTGTAGATTTCCAGGTGCGTCTTATGCTGAGGAGAAGTCCAACTCGGTAGAGGCTGATTGACCCTCAGCAACGCTTGGACAACAAATCCGACGCGGTACGTCATCGCAGTTGTCGCTGCATCGAACGAGCTTACTCATATCACGGTAGAGCACAGACCGTAGAGACCAAGAACGCGACTCCCAAAAGAAACCAAAAGCTCCGCATCCTGATCTCGAACCAGGTTTGCAAAAGCTCGACAACGGGGAGATCGCCGAACTTACGCTCTCGCTGAACTCGTTGAGCTACGGCCGGTCGGATGCGCGACCGCCACGTAGCACACGCTCGAAGGTGTACAGTGACCGATTCAGCCTTCCTACAGTTCCCGTGAGTGCGAGTTTGAGACATGCCTCGTGCAGGGCGACTGCTGACAATGCCGGATAGGAGGGACGCCAATTGCCACGGGAGTCGTATCTGAACGCAGCCGATCATCGCGTCAGCTACGCTAGCACGTCGGGCAGCGACTTCACGGATCCGGACGCTCCCATTACTCCAGAGCAAGCGCAAGCGAGCCTCTCCAACCCTCGCGTCGCCGGTCAAGACATGAGCCCCATCCTACCCGGCATCTTAAGTCTCCCATCATCCTCCAGCGAAGTCCCGCCCTCCCCTTCGAACCGGCGCACATCGTTCGAAATCATCCCCACGCTCACCGACGACGTCTCCGCCAAAGGTTCCAAGAGATCCAGGAGGAAGCTTCAGAAGCGTGCCTCTGTTGGGACTGACCGCACGGCGAAGGCGGCGGCGCAGGCTACGAGCGTTGCCGAGTCCGCGGCTGCAGGCGCCCCGGAGGCGTCTGAGCGGCGCGGCGGTGCTGGCGGGATGTTGCGTCGCATGGCGAGCTTCAGCGGTCTGAGCCGCAAGAAGGCATGATACGCTAGAATCTTCTCCTTGAACTACTTCTCTCTTCACCTTCGTCGCTCCTCCCGTCTTCTTATTCACGACGCATATACGCACCTCACGCTCCCTAACGTCTCTTTCTCCTCTTCACATGTATACCATAAGCGCATAGTCCACCATATAGCATACCACTCACCAACGACCTCGTCGTCTTCATTTAACTCTCCTTTCAATGTTCACGGACTTCATATACCATCGCACGCCGCATCTTTAGACTCGCATTCAATATCAATGAAATCGACCTCCACGAGAACGCACGAAGTATTATTATCGGGAACAGTGACCGGTAACATCCACCAGAAGAAGATACGAACAAACACAGAAGATATGCACAATCGAAATAAACACAGAACAAAAGGTCATTAAACGCATCATTAATCACCCCGACGACTTGCCCGCCTTCGCAGCCTCCATCGCCTCCCTCCTCCTCCTCGCCCTCTCCAGCGGCGTAACATCCTCCTCCTCCTCCACACCCCCGGGCAGCGCATCCCCATCCCCCTCCCCCTCCTCCCCATCTCCCCTACCCAAATACCCCACCACCTTCCCCGGCGCAACCGGACTAACGCTCCAGTTCCCCACCCCCACAACAGCGCTCTTCCTCCCC